TTTTCCTTCTCTCTTCCTCCTCTTCCTTCCCTCTTCCTCCTTCCTTTTCCTTCTCTTCCTTTTTCTTCCTCCTCCTTTTCCTCTCCCCCCCTTCCTCCTTCTCCTCCTCCTTTTCCGTCTGTCCTCTTCCTCTTCCTCCTCTGCTTGCTCCTCTTCTTGTCCTCCCCTGCATAGGGGGCGGAGGCTTTGAATGCGAATCTTGCCCTTCTGCCTTGACAGGATGAGCTGCTGGCTGAACTGGAAGAGATGGAACAAGAAGATCTGGACAAGGAACTTCTGAATGTTGGGCAGGCCAGTCCGGAGCTCCCCAATGTCCCCTCTTCTCGCCTCCCCAATGTGCCAGGTATGACAACATGCAGGCCCCCAAAGCTTAACGCAGGTAATCCTCGACTTACAACCGCAGGAGCGACTGACATTTCTGTCACTCAGCAAAGCGTGGGTTAAATGGACTGACACCCAGTTTTTCGACCCTTTTTGTTAAGTGAAACCCAGCGTTCGTTAAGCGAAGCAGACATTCGTTAAATGAATCCAGCTTCGGATTCCCTGTTGATTTTTCTGGTCTGAAGCCGGCTGGGAAGGTCACAAATGGCAGCCACATCAACCATAAAAATGCATGTCGGTTGCCAACCAGCCAAATTTTAATGATTTCACCTCAGGGATGCTGCAACGGTCATAAGTATGAGGACTGTTCGATGAGTTGTAACTTTGGTCACTAAAAGAATGGTTCTAAGTCCACCTGTATCATGTCACGAAAACACCCTCACTTCAGCGTGACCTAGTTGTGGCAGATGTACAGACCGTCCTCGACTTACGACCACAATGGAGTCTAACATCTCTGTCGTTAAGGGAGACATTTGCCAAGGGAGTTTTGCCCCATTTTACGACCTTTCTTGCCACCATCCCTGCCGTCATTCAGTTAGTTGCAGTGTTGTGAAGTGAATCCAGCTTTCCCCCAGTGGACTTTGCTTGCCAGAAAAATTGCAAAAGGGGATCACGTGACCCCCTGGACACTGCGACCATCATAAGTACGAGTCGGTTGCCAAGCCTCTGAATTTCGATAACGTGACCACGTTGCCTAGGTCGTTAAGTGTGAAAAAAAAAAGGTCATAAGTCCCATTTTTCAGCGCTGGTTGTAACTTTGCTCACAAAATAAGCATGGGCAGGGGGGTTGGACTAGATGACCTACAAGGTCCCTTCCAACTCTGTTAGCCTAGGGAGACTACCTGTACAATTGCCTGGGTACCAGCTCTGGATAATGGGGGGCACTAGTCCTGCCCAGCAGAAGTTGAACACAGAGGGCAACGCCCCTTTTCAGGAGATGTCACAGGTTCAAATCCTGCCTCTTTTCCTTCCCGCAGCTTCCAAAGTGCCCTCGGCCTCCCTGGATGAGGAAGACGAGGAAATGAAACAGCTTGCCGCCTGGGTGTCATGATGCAATTGTGGGAAATTTCCTTCCCCCACCGCTTCCTCCTCGCCTCCCTTGGTTTTCTTCGGAGAAAGAGGCAGAAAAGAGATGGAGAGGAACCATTTTCTCCCCTCCGGTTTCCATGGTTACGGGGAGGGGTGGGGTGGGGAAAGAAACAACAACAACAACAAAAGAGGGGAGGGCCGGAAGTCACACACACACACACACCCTGCCTAAAATGACCTTACGTGCCGAATGTAAAGAGTTTTATAGACAGATTTATATAAATATAAATATATATATATATATATATCTACAATATAGAAAACGGGAGCCTGTTCGGGGGAGGGAGGGGTGATTGGGGCTTAAAAGACCTGCCCCCCCCCCCGTTTCCCCCCCCCCCCAGATAAAGACTGAACCTTGAAATCATCTGGAGATTAACTTTTTTTCTTTTTCAGTTTTCAAAAAAAAACAACAGGATTTTGGCCCACCTTGCGGGGGGGCTCAGGAGGAGCGGACGGTGTGTGACACGCAAACACAGCCTGAAAATGAAGCTTTGGCGGGGGGGGGCGGGTGTTTAAAAAACAATTCTCAAGAGTTTTTGACCCTCTGGTCTGTCCTTCGCTTTCTGTCCGATTTTGGAGGTTGCCGTTCCCCGTGAGTGTTGGTCTTTCTTCTCTCTCCTGTTGGTCTCTTGTCTCCTTTAGGGCAAGTTGTCAGCTTCGTCTGTTGCCAAACACACCAACACAAAACACACACACTCCGGTGGTGCAAATGATGCAGTCTAAGGATTCTCCTCCTCCTCCCAGGCGTGTTGCAAAGGAATTTAAGGGTGGGTGGGTTTCGGGCGGGGGGGGGGGTTTGCTTCAACTTGCGCCTGGTGTTTTCTCTTTTCTGTTTTAAAGCTAGCTTGTTCTGTCTTTTTTCTTTTCAAATTGACTTGTGGGCAGGAGTTGGGATGGTGGGGGGAAGCGTGGCCCCCACTGACACGCGTGTACTCCTGCGGTGACCCGTTGCTGTGTTGCTTTCTGTGCCCGGTGAATAAAGTGCCCTGAAATGTATTGTCTGAACTGAATGGCGTGTGATTTGTTTTCTTCCATCGCCCT